TGCTTAAATCACCTTTCTTTCCCATTCTGACATTCAGTTTGGAGTTCAGGAGATTGTCTTGACCAGGACCATACCCCTAAATGCATTGAAGCAACTGCCATGTGATTGGTTGATTAGGTAATTGCATTAATGAGAAATTGAACAGGTGTTCCTAATAATCCTTTAGGTGAGTGTACATAAATACATCAAGTGTAAGTAATGCAGCCAAATGTACACATGTTTCTTAAATTATTTAATTCATTATCCAGTTTGCAAAGAATATCTTTATTATCACATTCTAAAGCAAGTTGAATACCTTTAACACAAGGAAGATACCTGCAGGAACCTGAGCAGGTAACCATGTGTGGAACTACTTTCTCTGACCCTCAACTGGCAAACATAAGAAACATACAGGTGTTATCATGAGCTGAAAACAAGCATTATGGAAGGTCTTGCCTTTTGCTCATAACTTTCATCCCTTAACCTCCAGACTAGTTACTTTCTGGATCACCAGGTTTTATAATCAGTCGTATTTTTGACCCCTAGATTATGTTATTTTTTTGTCTTTAGACACATCAAAATCTTATTATACACTGCTTTCAACAGAGAACTTCATCTATCTATCTGTATGTACACACACACACCCACATACACACACACACGTCAGTCTTCCCAAATTACAGTACCTTAGAATGGAATTGTTTTATTTCTAATGCCTGCTTACAATTAGGAGTAAAAAGTTACTGTTCTGTTTGGGGGAATTTAGACAAAGGAACCTTATGTCCTGATGGCTTTTGGCATATAGTTTTTTTCCAGTTGTTTTTCTACCAGGTTAGTGAAATGTAGTGTGACTTCTTACAGCTGTACTTTTCCCAGGGTTAATCTTGTGAAGATTTGAGAGGGGGGTGTTTCCTTACCCCATTACAGGTATATATATGGAATTGCTAGGGGTGGTGTTGGTGGTTGTTCCCTCACTGGAACAGTGAACAACTCATACAGTAGTACTACAAAGCCCCTCCTTCAGCTCTATACAAAACACCATTCTTTGGAATAGGCTTTCTTGTATCTTATTTCTTGATATTTAAGTCCCCTCATTCATTCTGTTTAGCTGAACTCCTGCTCTAAATTAAAAAAAAAGAAGAATCAGTTTTTCATCCTTAGATTTACTTCTGGATGGGTCACCAGAACTTGTGCAGGGAAGTGCTTTTTGGGCCATAAGACTTCATGATGTTGAACGTTTGACTGATGGACGGAGAAGTGAATCGGTGTCTTTGGCAAGAATGATTGAAGACATAAGGACAGTTTCACAGCTAGAACTGTAGACTGTGGGCTTTCTGGGAACCAGCAGAGAATAGACGGAGTAAAACAGCAGAGGCTGACAGAGACAGCCATGGTGACAGAGCAGAGGTACATAGAGTACTACGTGGAGAGAGATGTGCTGGATGAAGAGCAGCTGGAGGAAGTCGCCCAGAGACGGATACCTTCAAATAAATTTCTCCTAAAAGATCACCTCAAAAAGTCACTGAGGTAAGAGGTGGATGGCAACTTTGGAATCCTGATGGAGACAGAGCTATGCGGTTTTACAAACTACCTTTTGGAACCATTAAAAATTTGGATGAAAGGTAGAAATATGCAGCTCTGACAAAAATTAAGAGACCACAGCAAAATTTTCCATTTCACTCATTTCTCAGTTTATGGGTATGCGCCTGTGTAAAATATACTTTTTAAAAATTTTTTTGCAAACTCCAGCCTGGCTCTTCCCTGCTTCTCATTGATGAAGGGCTTCTTCCGTGCAGAGTAGCCTTCTGCCATCAGAACCAGGATTAAACTAGAATTTAAAAATGCAGAGATATTTAAAAATGTACAGTGGTCTCTCAATTTTTTTCCTTGCCTGTATTTAGACCTGGAATACTAATAGATTTTAGTAAAAAAAAAATTTTTTAAAACATATTAGTGTGCTGGGACATGTATTATAATCTGGTATTAAACAATGTAATGCAGGACATATTCCTGCTTCTGCTACCACTCTAGGACAGAAATACTGCTTCATTTTTGTAGAGACCATTAGGTAGGATGACTAATGTGTCCTTGTGACTGACTGAGCTTGTACAATGTACAAAGTTCAGATTCAGTCAACTGGAGGCCTTGGCATTATGCTAAACATGTGTACAAGATTATGGTCAATTTTCCTAATTTATTGACTGACTTTTATTTACTGTGGCTCGTGACTAAACTGAGTCTAAATAGGCACAGCAACATATTGAAACCAATAGAGTCAACCTTCCACATCGCAGGGCTTAGGGGTGCAGGCCCCCTGCAGTCAGGAAAAACCGTGTCAAATTTTTTGGCCCCTTTGGCAAGCAAAGATACGAGAAATGTGAAATGCAAAGATCACTGAGAGATCACTGTGAGATCAATGCGATATATCATGTAAGAGCAGGCACGGAGGGGGACTA